AGTTGCCCAGTTAATACAGATTCCGAAATGGTATAACATATGGAGTTATTCAAAACAGCCTTTTTGATATTGATTTTTTTCTAATGGGTCGCAGTTTTCAGAAAAATTGAATAACTCTTGAACCATCAACAATTTGAGCAAATACCGTTAGTTTGATTACAAATGACCCTCCCTACCACCCCACTTCTTTTGATCCATTACTCATGAGACACCCTGTAGGTATACTTGAATATCTTTTTCCTCTCTCAATGGATCGCATCATGGTGCGAAAGGGTATTGCCCTTTTTTCTCACTATTTCAACCAATGCTGTAGGTGGTAAATTATATTATATGATTGTATTCTCCCAGTTAGGAAAAATATTTTTTGAATAAAATCCTGGTACCTATACATACTCCAAAGGACCTCACATCACATCACTCATCCAAGGAATAACACGACATTGGTTAGGAGTTTAACTAGATATTATATAGAAGGATGCAATACTTACGTAAATGTTTACAACTTGTTGATACTATAAAAATTAATAAATAAATGAAAATTGAATTAAACATTTTATCGCGACAGCTGGCACTGAACTGTGCGTAGGTATACCTGTACGCACCATGAACATCAAGCAATCAAAAGAAGGACATACCTCGAACTTTGGTATATAAACTTCCAATTCGATATTCAACTGTGCTCTTATTGGAAATATAGGATCCACTTTTCATACGTAAGCATTTGTCTCATACCATTTCATATAAGTGATATTCTCTCAATCTGAAATAACTGACCCAGACAGCACTGGATATTCCTAGAATATTCTCTAAATATGCTAAAAGAGAAGAATTCATTCCGAATATCCCTTAGAATATATACGTGCCTCTGGAACATCCAAGGAATATTCCAATATTCCTGGGATATTCCAGTTGCATAGTGCAGGGAATATTCAGGTATGAATATTCCAGGAATATTCCCAACTGAATATTCTGTTCCTGTATATTCATGGAGTATTCCAATAATATCCCCATGTGTTTCAATGAAATTGTGAATTATGGAAATTAACCAATCACTATTTTATAGATGTGTCATTGGTTTTGAAATCTGTGGTAGAAGTCCATCGTATTTGAAAGTAAAGTGGTTATGTTACCAGGGATCAAAAACACAAAGTCGTCTCCACAATTTTTATAGGTAGTGATCAAAGTATCGTATGTACATGTTAAGAGCCCATATGGAACTGGAAGTGTTTATGATCCGCTTCTGAACAACGCAATTCAATGAATTGTTATGTACAGTATTATTCAACTCGATTACTGGCCTAGTGGATAAGGCGTTGATCTGACAGTCTGAAAGTCCCGAGTTCGAGCCCATCTTGGGTAATTTTTTTTTAATTATGAATATTTATTAAGGAATATTCCCGGAATATTCATTTATTTATATTCCTGTATTATTCCTGGAAAATTCCGAATATTATCTGAATATTCCTAGAATAGCATAGGTACATTCTGAATATATATGGAATATTCCTTGTGTAATATTCCGGGAATATATAAAATTTTCCCCACCAGCACATTCAGGGAATATTCCATAGATGATATGTATATCCCTGGCATGTTCATGAATATTCGCAATATCCAAAAAGAATATTCTATGAATATTCATGGAATATCTGGTGCTGTCTGGGGAAAATATTTCACTAGAACTGAATACGCGTTCTTTCAAATGGAGTTCTTTGCATTTCAACTGATTCAGTTCAGTTCAAGTGAAATGTGTCAGTTCGTTCAGAACGAAAAAATATCACTATAATAAAATAGGTAACATATTTCTGGAATCTGAGAGGTTTTCAGAAACATATATACAGGGTGTCCGAAGAGATCATATATCGTTAATGATAGGGCTGATACAGTAAGCCAAAGTAATGTTAGTTACTTCATATACAAAAATGTCTAGCTTCCTTCGTTACGGAGTTATCGAACTTGAAAGTTTCTGCAAGTCCATACATGCATCATCATCATTACTAAACTCTTCCATTGTGTTACCAAAGGATTGAATACTGTCAAATTAATTTGATGTCAATTATGACAATGGGTGCAAATACCTTGATGCTATTGAATGAATAGAGTTTTTATTATTGTTGGTAATAAATTTTGACATACCCAGATACCACTTGCAAATTTATGGACATCCTATGAATATTCGTTTTCGGATGATCGAATAATCTCTGGATCCACAATAAATATTTATATTCTTTTTCGAATATAATAAAAATGTTCTGAAGATTCCATAGATATTTGACAAGAATATTCATTGGATAATCCAGAATAATCATGGAATACCCTTGGAATATCTTTTCATCAAATATTTCGATTATCTATGGAATATTCCGAATACAATAGTAATTATTCTATTGATATTCATAGAATATCCTGAGGATTTCATTGGGTTAAGGAAGATATCATTGCTCTGGAAACATTTCACTATTTGAAGATTTGTCTATACAACAATATCAGACCAATTCATGATTTTTATGGTAATTATAGCCTCAGTTTATCGATCACGACTTCCTGACCATTCCTGAAATTGTCAAACATAATCTCAGATACTATTTAGTTAGCTATAAAGAAATTGAAAAAATGTTAACAAGTAACATTTATTCAGAAATTTGTTTTAGCAACTTTGAATAACTCACCTTATGGGATTTCATTACACTGGACACTTGTATGTAAGTATGTCTGAGTAAGGGTTTTATTATCAATATCCCCATTCCACCAAGTAAATGGGTAGATTAATACTTATCACTTCTCTACAGATACTTACATCATTTTCAGGACAACATGTGGATCAAAAATGTTTGTATCAGTTCTGTTTATCCATGACAATCATATACTACTAACGTTGGATAGATAAAGGGGAAGTCTTTTTTTATCCACAAGTTGTCCGGCCCGGCTTCTAATAGTACATATTTTCTTGTTATTTTTAAATTTTTTTTCTACGTGCTCACCTATAGCTCCATTATATACTTACTTACACATATTTTCATTCTCTGAGTATCAGTTAAGTTTTTTATACCACCTATTTGAGGTTAAATGACCTAATTCACGTCGAAATACCACGTCGAAATAACGTTACAAAATGATGTCTTTGGGACGTGGCATAATCACGTCATCCTACCGTCATTATGACGTCATTCATTAGGTCGAAGAAACGTCCAGGGAAACGAGGAATGTACGTCAATATGACGTCAGTATGCTGCCTGATGGGCAGATAACGCATGGTCACGTCACTGTGACGTACCCAATTGATGGATTTTCGTCAGAGGCGTCACATGCCAGCGTTTTTCGTCACTATGAGGTACTTCCTATGATGTGATAATCACGTCATCATTACGGCTTAGAGTAATCGTTCCTTCGAAATATAACGTCGGTTTCAAGGCGTTGCAGGAACGTCGTGTCAACCTCATGTTTCTCTATAGTCTGGTATGTGTTTTTAATATATATTCAGAAGACGGCTGTGATTCAGGGTGTCGCAAACTCGATGAAGTATTGAACGTTTCTGGAGAACGCGACAAATAGGATCATTTCGAAAATTTGGATTCTATAGAAATATATATAATATTTTCGGCCCTTCCGAATGAAACACCCTGTATTTCATTGTATTTTTGGAATCTTTCTGAAGAGCGGATTCTACCGATCTTTCACACATTCGGATCTAGCGGAAATGATCACAGAAATTTATATAGGTTGTGAAAAATCGAGATATGTATTTCAAATTTAGTAATTGTACCTATGTGTCGAAACTATTGATTATTGAAAACGGCTACCAAGTCCATATCTCAACTGTTGATTGACTTTCTACTGACATTCAATTAAAATAAATACATGGTGGTTTACACAGTAGCTTCAATAGGTGAAATACTGGTACAATGAACTAAACTAACCTTGGCTTGCCTAACTTATATATATCCTACTTTCGCAACCTGGAGAATCAGGATTACCTGTGGAAAGGTTCGATAAATCTTCATTTTCGGAAAATAGACCCAAAATCTACATTAAAATGCAGTGTACCTGATTAACTCGAAAGGGTTGATAGTAAATACATATCATTATATCTAAGGAAACAAATTCAAGAGTGGTGAACTATTGAGGTCTAGTTGATCTTTAACTAAAATGTTAGAATTCTTCAGTTTATTGATTTCTAATGATTCAAAATGATTGAGTTTGATTCTCTCATTTTCCACGTGTAGAATCTCGAAATTATCATCAAAAATGTGTTTTCATTCTGATATACGGTTGGCGTATGTTGAATTTGTTTTCTTTTTCAAAGAGTTCATCTTATGTTCATGAATGCGCTGATTGAACCTTCGAGTTGTCTGACCGATATGTACCTTAGGACGAGCTCAACAGTTGAGTTATACTTATCGATACTTATCGATACTTATCGATACTCATCGATACTTATCGATACTTATCGATACTTATCGATACTTATCGATACTTATCGATACTTATCGATACTTATCGATACTTATCGATACTCATCGATACTCATCGATACTCATCGATACTCATCGATAATAATCGATACTCGAAAGTGCCTAGGGGTTACGCAATTAATAGTACATTATAGACTTAGGAAATAATGTGACATTTCAAATCCGTAGACAGAAAGTTTTCGTCGACCTCAAACACTTTTATTAACATCGCGGTCCTATTCTATCGGATTTCGAATAATTAATTCGACAACAGCAAATAACAGTTGTTGTCAACTCACCCGCCTCGCTCGGACTAGGGTTGCTATAGTAGTAATATAGATTTTTATTCCATCAGTGAAAACCTTGTCAAAATTCTTCTAGATATCAATAGATTTGTTGATTGAGATCTATTTTATACTAAGTATGCGAATTTCAAGATAGGATTATAAAATAAACCTATGACGTCAAAACACTATTTACTTTCAGTAAACAGAGAAGTAACCTATTTCTATTTCCAACAGAATAGAACAAAACAAAGCCAACATTCTAATACAAAAATAATCATATTCCTAATTCGCATTTCAAAAATACTCACAAATATCACAAACTTCAGTTGCATAGGTACTTATAAGATTTGAGAATATAAAAAACAGGAACGATTTGTAAAAATAAACAACAAATGGAAAAATAAACCTAAGAAATACACTGTTATAACAGAGGTATATGATATATTTGATCGCAATCAGATAAAGTATTGTCCTTCTTTGGTTTATACATGTCATTAGTACTTATTTTGTAAAATTAATTCAAACAGAGCATGTTGAAATATCATGCAATTCATAAGTATATGAGATTAAGTAAAGATTGGTAATAATATAGGTACATATAATTATAATAATAAATAGGTCTCAACATTTTTATAGTAGATTATGAATCAGTAGATCAGTAGATCAATATGCAAATCAGGAGATCTATTGAAAAATCAGTAGAACAGGCAGCCCTGCAGCGGACGAAAAGTGTTTGCGGACGGAAAGTTATTGTCTGATGCGGACGAAATGTACTTACCTTCGGAAAAAGTCGGATTTTCGTTCGGAAATAAGAACGTCAAATGTAATTCTTTGTAAATCTCGACAAAAAACAACTTTTGTTGGTGAATGTTCCGGGAATTTTGCATATAAGCCTATTTTCAGTGATTAATTTGAATACATGTAACTTTTGATAAGTAGCGAAAGTCACATGACCCTGATCGAGTAGGTATTTCAAACAATTTGAAGCAAAATTTAAAGTTCAAGTCGAGATCCGAAAAAAAATTTTTTGATATCATTTATTGAAGGATCTGTTGTCACTAGTTGAGGTGTCTTAAACTCCGTAGATGAATTCCTATCTGGGTTTAACCTCTTGTTGGTAAAAAAGAATATGAGCATCCCCACTGACGAGAAAATTCGACGAAATTGAAGAGCCAAGAGAATCATTGTACTCATTATTAAGAGTTTTCCTGCATATGATGCCAACTTACTGGAATCCCGGCAGGGCCCATTTTCCGTATCATCAACAAGTTACTCTTCAAGCTGCTCTCTACACGTCTCTACTCTCTAGTTGAAATAATGAACTCTTGATTTTTGTTTGGGGCTGGGTGTATGCACTACATAAACAAGGAAGAAAACATATTAGAAGAATTTCGTACAAATTTTATTATATCCATCATTATTTTGAATATCGAGCATTACGATGCTGAATGAAAAAATCCCTGAGAATCTCATTTTCAATCCAAAAACATCTCGTCATAAGATATAGTCCTGAAAAATGAATTGAATATAGTCGAAACTATAGCATTTATAATCTCGTTATTAGAAGCTCCTGCTGTTTCTTCTAGTTCTTTTTCGTTGTCGTTCAAGACTTGGTTGAAATTGTCGCCTGAAAAATGATAATGAGTGATATTCAACGTCAAATTATTCAATAGTTATCAACTTGATAAAGAATAAAATAATTTACAGGAAAACTATTATTACCTAGAACTTTATTTCCACCGAAGAGATTGCCGAAGTGATAATGAGTATGTCCAACTTTGCAAATGATATTCGTCTTCAAATTGTCTACATCAAAATACTGTTTTCCATCAGCTTTCTTGATCAGCTGATAATCAAAGGAGTATTCCACTGTGATATTCTCTGGAAGACATCAACTCTCTATTACAATTATCGATACTTGATTAATATCCAGTTCCTGGAACGCTTTAGAAATTCATGCATATGAAGCCCACAGGGAAAAAGTGGGAATGTCACAAAGACTAGGTTTCGAGAAAAACGCATTTCAAAGTTCAAAACCTCCTTACTTTTTGGAAGTTGAAGGAAACTGAAATCAAACCATCTGGATTCATTTGATGGAGTATAATGAGCAATCAAGTTGAACAACTAGAAATACAAATCATATTTGATAGAAAAATCATCGAGGACAGATAATAAGTCAAGGGAAAAGTAGGGAATGTCCAAATAAATTGTCAAAAAACTGGTTTGTTTACTCGCAATTATCCGCTCTGGTACATTTCTCCATTCTTGCCTGACTACCTAATGAGCGGTAAGTTGTCATAAAGTACATCTAGCATCTCTATAATTTGATCATTTTCTATTAATTTCATGCGATATGAGTAGGAATCATCATGTAGCAATCTCATTATTGTATTCCCATCAGTCAGACGTACTCGACAAGCCCATCAGTCACCTTTTTGTCGTCAACCTCGAAATATATCGAGCAACTACTTACCAAAACTCGTTTATACATAGAACGGCAAAGCTTTGGAATATTTTGCCTAACAGAGTATTCCCAAGAACTTATAATCTCCAAAGCTTTAAAAATATCCCAATACCTACCTCCTCTCTCTATACTCCCTAGGTACACACAATGTTTCCCGAACATTACAGGGATTCCCTTTATTACGCTCCAAGAGATGGAAAAAGGTGGCCGTATCTCTTCATTTTCTCATATTTTGTTTGCCTGAGAATTCACTTTGACCTTTTGACAGTGTGGAAACATCCTATTAAAATCACAATGGAATCTGTATTCAAGCAAGCACCATCAAGCACTAAGCTTCACATTTTTGAAGTGGACATTCCGCGTTTTTTCCATGTGAACGTATTTTCGAACGAGCATATTAGCTGACTATGCTGCGTTATTGCTATTGACTTCTGTTTTTACTAAAATTTAGTGGTTAGGCTATCAGATGGCAGTGTCAAGTCAATTTCCACTATATTGTGACATTCCCCCTTTTTCCCCTGTGGTCATCATGTGGGAATACATCGTGAGCAGCGTGTCGATTTGAAAACAATCCCTATAATTATTTACGACACAATAGTGTTCGAATTGAAAGAAAAACCAGAGACAACGACAATTAATAATAATTCATTTTGTCTACATCGAGTGGAGCCAAGAACCAATCAGAACCACTGATTGTCACGGTATCTCATGTATAATAGGAATATTTGTTATTCTTTGTTCACTAAAATTGTCGGATTGGCTCTACCAATACTGAAACTCACTTGATTCTACGTGTCCAATCAACCTATAGTTTCTCAGCGATATTGTTTATCTAAAACTTCAATTATGATGGTTGATAATAATAACAAGTTATTTCAACAGGTTCAGATCTCTGCCTCATCATTTATTATCGTATTTGATTACAAAAACAAAAAGTCATTATGTTATACTACAAGTGATCCTATTTTCCTGGAAATATTCGACGATGGTCACGACCGGGCACGACAGCTTGTTACCTAGTAATTTTGCAAATGACATTATTAACAAAAACTATCAATCCGAAAAAATCTGAAAGTTTTTATTAAATTTCGGTTTTTTCCGAAAGTATTCGGAATTTTCCAAGGTTGGAAACGGCATATCATCAGGCATGAAATTGCGCAACTTTGCCTTCAGTCAATCGACACTGTATCTCTAAAGGTAAACGACATCCCAATAATGAAGCTCGAATAACGAAATGACAATATGATTGAAATCCAAAATTTTAGGAAAACAGATAAAGAGCTTGATCAAAATGAGGAAGAAATCTCTCTAAATCGAATTCTACACGATTGAAGAAGAATCAAATATGAGATTTTGTAGATTTTTAAATGATAATTATATCGCTACCGCTGTTTCTCCTTACATTTATGAGACTCAAAACTCACCGGAGAAACAAGAAATTAACAAAAACATTATCCTCGAACTTCTATTCGAACACTTTTGTTGTTGTATCAATACGGAGTAATTTTTATGAAAACTTTTACCCATTTCAACTACATATAAAAATAATCTGAACTACGTTACGTTACCTCGTTTATAGGGCGAAATCTACTGGAATGATAAGTTAAATTGGAAATAATGAAAATTAGATGGTTGATACCCACTTGAATTTATTCTTGCTGGACCTTCTCCCTTTATCGGAAGAGTCAGGATTTTTCCATCCACTTCGTATCGACTTTCAGTCAAAGCCTCATCTATCAAGATTTTGACATAAAAGTGCTTTTTGTCCAAATCAAACCTGAAATTAATTGAACCTGGGATCAGGAATTGAAGTGAAATGGTTCTAATAATACATATTCATATAGGATGGTAGCTTCTTCGGCAAATATATTGTACTCGATGCCCTAGAATCAGCGTACAAAACTTTGTGCAGTCGGCTTCCCAGCCTAAACTGAGGAAACAAACAAAACAAGCTAGTACCATGGAGAGTAGATTTTACGAATTGGTGTTCCCATTAGGTTTTGATTTTTTTCTGGAAATAACATATCATTGAATGTTAGTCTGAACTGTTAATCTTGAGGGAGAAAATACTGGACATAGATGAGACGGACATTGATTGAGAAATTTGCGAACATAAGGAAGAGGAGAATGATTCAGTTAGTTTTGAGGGAGGAAATATACTGAACAAAAAAAAATTAAAAAATTCTAGTACACGATAATGAAGAAAATCAGCAGAGAGAAGATTACTCAGCTGATGATTCACGGTTGATCATGTAGTGAAAAAAAATGCAACTGGTGTTATATACACCGAATCATACGAAGAAATAATGAGAATACGTGAGATATCTGAAGAATCTTACAACGTCAATTCACTCATTTGAGTTCGAGTTTCAGGAGACTAGAAATGAGCATTTCATCGAAGTCAAGCAAGAGTACATTTTTATCACCATTCCAAATTTTCATCGTGGAATTGAAAAAATTATTGTTCAATAAAAATGAGGGTGGAAAATAAACTGAGCCAACATCATTGAGTACTATTTTAATTGGAAATTTTGAATTTCGTACCCACTTCATTCAGCTAAAGAAATGAGTTTAAAATGCGAAATCCCATTAGGTATTTCCTTAAAAGCAATTAGCTATCCGACTGAAGTTCAGTGGAACTCGTATTATCATTTTAAAGTTACGTAATTTACTGCGAAGGAATTACACGCTGATTATGGGTCACTCCATATAGAAGTTCAAGAAATGATATTCTGAAAGATGCAGACAACATTTCGATCAATAATTTTTATGGTCTGCATGTGGGCCGTATGAGTTTAAACTTGAATCAACTAGTATTAATGGTGCGAATTAAAAATGAAGATTTAATCGAACTGGATGATATTATTCATATCAGAAACCAAATAAAATCTGAAGATCTGTCATTATTTTTTATTTCAATAACACACGATATATGGGTAATAGGTATGTGTATGAGAACATTGTTCATAAATCGGCAAAATATCACGTTTTCTCGTTCATGTTTCGAAGATACTATATTATGAATTTCCCTGATTGATAGATATAACTTCAATATCTTCATAACGTCGATGGTACCGAAGGAGCTCCTCTATACCATCCTCGTACTCTATAGTTGAAATAATGATGGAAACAACGAAGAATACGATGACTTACACAAGATCCTGTATGTGTGTCGTGTTCAAACCATACATATGCAAGTCTTTCAACTGGAATTTCAGATCATTTCCTTGCTGCACATCAACTAAAGGAATCAAAACGGGAAGGAAGTTTGGTATTTTGTATGCTTTATCTCCTAAAAATAAATATTCTGTTAATTCATGCATTACATGTTCGAAACACATTTCCACATATTCCATCACATTTATATTATAATATATTATTCTCTACTAGCGTGTAGAGAAGTCTACTATATTCCGCAGTCTTTTCAGTGTTGAAATAGTAACTTTTCCGCGACAGTGCGAAAATGCACGTCGTGCGGAAAAGTGAATGTGTTAAGTTTTTGGGGAGTATACTGACATTTGCAAATTTGAAATTAATATTTGTATAGTTCGAGAAATGTTGAAAAAACGAAACATTCATCACAATTTTGAAAAAATTACCTCTTCCACCCAAGTTCCCATGCTGGCCACGATTGCAACAAGTAATGCTGAAAAAGCAGTGAAAACCAGAATCTTACTTCAATGAAAAATATTTTAGCCTCTGCCAATGATTTGTGAGAATGCTTCGAATTGCACGTTCAATATTACCTACTTGAAATCAATTATAATTAATTTGTTGATAAATATGTCATAATGAATGTTTCTTCATGTTAAATTATTGTTTTTTTCCGCTCGCTGGTAGAAAAGTTGTGTACCTAACACGTGCGTGACTTCTCCGCATCCGTATCACTTTCCGCACTTGTTGGGTAAACTACTGCCTCAGAGAGATGATTCTAGATGGTAGGGTATACTTTGTATTAATAAATACAGATTCCGGGGAAATTCAATGGCTAAATCCTCGAAATGAGCCCAGTATAGTGTTCATGTTCACATTTGGAAAAGATAATTTTAGGGTGCGAATATCAAGTCGTCAAGTCTTTCAGGATCAGCTGTCGAACAGCAAGAGAATCAGTCACAAGTATTCTATGATTCTTAGAATGAAAACCCCTCCAAAGAATGTGAAATCAAACGTTACGGACAAAACTTAACCCTCCTTTTTATTAACCTTCACAAAAGGAGTTCAAATCGATAGCGGAATCCTATCGTTATAAGAAAATAGGAATTGATAAAGAAACTGCAGAGGAAATGAAAGATCATGAGTATCATTTCACAGCAGAACAATGTTGTGATACAAGTCATACAAGAGTCTGCTTCCCAAGTTTAGTATGAAGCGATAAGAATAAAAGGCCACAATGACAGATCGGGGCATAATCTCGAACAGTGGCAATTTCATCAAGATATGACAAAATATTTTGGAGATTGCCCTGGGATAACCCCTTAAAGCCTCTTGTTCGAGTTTGTCATCAATAAGTGAAACTTCTAAGCCCTGTGCAAGAAGGTTCCTACTCAAAGAAAGAGAACGATGCTCAACAAAATCAAGAAGTTTGTCAGTGTAGTTCTCCTAGCGCTGAAATGTTAAAATAGCCGAAAAATTTCAAAAAAGATGTTGAGATGCAAGGTTGAAGAACAACATTAGGAGAACCAATAGATGATGACAGATAATTTGGATATTCTTAGAAGAAATATCACAAAAAAGTATGTGTTGATATGAAAAATATCTGAAATTGATCTTAATGAAATTATAGGCAACATGTAATCAATGAATTGACTATAAATTCGACAGAACATGTGAAGCTAAGAACAAAAATATAAAGATCCATAGAATTATATAGAAAATACAGTATTAAAATAATTATGTAGTATTGAATTTTCCGAATGTCCAGAAGCCCAATGCTGATCTGATTCAACATCAAGTTAGATAGAAATAACTTTTTGAAAGTTCTTTCACATGACATTCATCACTAGGAAATTCATAAGAATGTAAGACAAGCTGCCCAAGGGAGCAAGTAATTTACACAAACCATAAACTCAATTGGTTCCTTAGCCACTTCTACTTCGTTTTTATTTCAGGTTATAATTCGTGTTTCCTTCCCCAAATCTCTATATTATGTTCGTATATGGCAAAGTCACTTGTCACTCATAAAAATTCCATGGTGGTGTTTGTCAAATCTTATTGTACCTCATGTCAGGGCTGTCATTATCATTAATTGATTGCTTCAGTATGGCTTTGGGACGGATTAAGTAAGGCTCAAGGATAGCTTAAAGATGACTTCAGGATAACAGTCATCATCGGACGTTGCGATGACGTTATTAAAACTGGGGAGAAACATGTTCAATTTTCAATTTATGCCAGGAGCTAGGAATGTTTTCCCCCAGTTTTAACGTCATCGCAACATGAGATAATGACCTTGAAAACTGCGAATTGATGTATAACGGTGTCACCCATTTTCCACTGATGTGGTGTATTTTCCGATTTTTTTAATGGGAATAATGGTTAGTTATATCACTCTGATGACTCACCTTCGAGAATGCGTGGAAGTGAATCAATGGCATGCTGCTTTGCACAATCATTCAGATTCGGATCACTTTTTCGGCATGGAAGAATATATGTAGCTGGAAATGGAAGAATACAATATGAATTATTTATTCATCTGGTTAATCAAATGGTGATGTTGAACATCTCATAAAATTCTGGGATACTTTACAAAAAAAAGACATTCCGTATTTCGATCGCTAGAAAAATGAAGTTTCATGAGGAACTAGTCTTTCATGTTCAAATTCTTTCAAGAATTTATTCAAACCAATCGTCGTGAGTTTGTTCTTTTCCTTAATAGATCATTAGCTCGTGATTATGAGATTGTATCACCAAATAAGTTCTACTAAGAACATTTTTCTAACGTTCCACCGCCAACATAATCCAATGAATATATTCAAATAATAGAGAGAAACAAAAAAACTTACGTAATTTCTTCGAATCAACGGGAAACTGCAGAATACCTATCAACGAAAGCACAATAAGTATTCGATACATCACAGCGATTCTCTAGCTACTGAACAAACTGCAAACAAGGATGTCAACACAGAAAACATTCTAGTGAAGATATAGATCGTCAAGGCTTTGAAACATGAGTTATACCTAGCTACTGCATCTACTCTTTCACCTTTATTATTCACCTGCTACCTGACTAAGTTGTTTCGTATCTAATTATAAATATGGTAGAATGATTAGCGACAATTTAATTCTGCAACGAAACTATACGAACAATTTATGAAGGCTTTTTCACACCTGAAATTATTCTCAATCCATGGACAGCAAACCGTTTGTTATTCAACCATTTTTCACAGTGTTCAATGATATCTGTCCTTTTTTAGACTGATCTCAGGTTATATGTATCACTTCGTTCATTAGGATTGCGATATTTAAGTTGATTTTAACAATAACCAAAATAGTTATTTATGTATATCATGGACGAAAAACTGTCTATTATAGTCGAGTCCGCAAATTAGCCGATGATAGCAATCAGGCGAGACAAGAGACAATTTTTCACCAGGGTGCATATAACAGTTTTTCGTCGACCTCAAACACCTATATTCACATCATAAATGGTAAAGGTCGACGAAAAAATAATTTGCTACAATAATTATTATTAACGAAACGCTTGTCAAGAAAAAAAGCAGCCGCGTCGTTGGCCATATCACATTTCCTCTTCAAGGAAAGAGGACTCGTCTGAGGTTTCGACTCAGGCCATTTTCCTGGTGGAGTTCTGACAGAGGTCTCCAAACCCGCAGACTATTCCTTGGTGGATTCATTCACCTCCTTGTGTTGCGCGGTTCTGCATTCTTTGTCGGATCTGGAAAATCAAAGTGTGGGTAAATGTGAAGCTGCTCCTTTCTTTGCTGGATCCATCATCAATTGATGAGGTCCATGTATGATGGATTTTCACATCCTTTCAGTCCCCGTTAGTGCAATAGTCCAGTGCAGTACTGGAACCGAATGCAGCAACCACTGTCCGAAAGTTTGCATACAATGGCATAATAGACAGTCTTGATGGTAACGAATAGACACAGGTCAAGTTATTTCAGGTGAAATATGCCTACGTTGATGCATAGGACCGCAGGTCCAAACGACTTCTACTCTCCTTTAGGACACATTTCATGAAAGTGGACACATTCATCGTCATTACTTTCTGTGCTAGAGGATTGTTACCATCGCGAGTAGCTAGAGAAGTCTTTAGCTGATGCGGCAGAGCACTGCATTACCGTGGCACAGCAAAGCAGGTACTTCTAGGAGGTCACCTGGTATCCTGAAGTCTTGGTGAAGAATACCTGTTTGGTATAGGTACATCAACCATTCATGTTTCAATGAATTTCTGCAGCGAAGCCTGAGTATTGCATTAGGAATAAGTGGTTTGTACAATCCATCAACATTAATCTAGTTCGATTCCGGGGAAGATAATCCTCCACAACCATAGCTAGAGATGGTTTTCCTCATATGTATCATGTTCTTCGATGATCTTCGTATGCCCATTCACTTCTTCAGATACCCTTCCTGAGAGAGAAACATTTCCTAATAAGTCATCAGGACGCGGTTCCCATATGGCATGTGATTTATGCAACACTGGGATTGATAACTCAAGTATCAGACGATACATTTAACACCACTACAAAGAACGATTCATCTAGAAAATACTCTTGGAATATTCTAGAACACTCTCAAACCTGGAAGATTTTATAACGTTTCGCAATTCCCTATCTCCAATATATAATCTATGAAATTCTCCCATTTCCTGGACCAGAATGATCCTGGGATTCGGGCAATGTCAGCACTAGATTTTCTTCTGATTTACCAAATATTCAATCTTTTGGTGCGATCCGCAAAAAATGCGTGAGTGGCCCCTCTCTTGACATCCTTGTTTCTCAAACTCTGCCCTACTGCTATTTCAGACCGTTAATTGGCTACCATATATTTTTTTTATGTTCTGGTTCCCACGAAAAGGGATATCCTGTAATGTTCAGAGGACATCGTGAGAACCAAGGGAAATGAGGTACGAATTTGTGTTCTTCTTGAACTTCTGGAGGTTATATGCTTCGAGGAACACCTCCTTTGGCAATGTGTTCCAGAGCCTCGCTGTTCGTTGGATGAACGAGTCTTTGGAAAAGAGATATTCTGCAGGTCTTCGAAGTGACCACGAAGGGGTGCGAAGCCTCAACTCGACGCGTTAATCTCGCGGGAACTGCAAAGGGAGGAACAATTGTTGATATTTCAGAAGAGCATCGTCCATGAAAATATCCATAAAATAGAGCCAAATCCCCAACTTTCCTACGGTGTCCCAGGAAGTGAGTGAGTTTGTGAGCGAGGCATCACCCATGAGACGAATTGCCCTTTTTTGGACAGAATCCAACAGTTTCAGGGTTTGTTTGGGTGCTGCACTCCAAATATGGGAACAGTTTCCTAGGACAGATCAAATCTGTGCCTTATAGATCAAAAGCAGCTGACTGGGAGTGAAATAGCTCGTGGCCCGAAACAGAAAACCAAGTTTTGATATAGAAGACCACCATCACACTGCGATGGTGAGTTAAGGAGTGAGCGACACGCTAGCAGACTGTCTTCTTAACTACCTAGTGGAATAATATAGAAGTGAAGAACGTAAGGTAAATAAAATATCGAATAAGAAAGTAAGACATTTACTTCCCATCTCCTATGTGCACGGGTATTGTCTTCAACATTATTTGTTATTTTCTATAATTATGTTCACTTCCGATGTTTTTTTTGTAAAACTGGTACTAATCTCATAATCTCAATACCAGGATAGGTGTCAAGGTGAACAGCTTTTATTTGCATTATTACAATACGATGATACAATAATTATAGTAGATGGTAATTAATTATGTGGCCATTATATGCATGAATGTGTAGACATCGTTCGATTTGCTGTAATGTCAAGGTAGATGAGATTTTTTTTCAATGGCTACGATATACAGGTTGAGAACATATAACGGAATAGTTTTAGTCGGAAGACAAATAACCATGAGCTAAAATCTATTTTTTTTCTCCGTGTATAATACACTATCATTTTTTGTGACAGGGAACAGGATAAATCAACATTGAGAAAATATCACAGTATTTGGAAATTATGAAAAACGTGAAATTTTAAGTTTCTAACAGGAATTACTTTCATCAGCATTGCAGGCATCAATTTTTAGGCATCTTTTCAATTTTTTTGAAGTAATCAAATATTTGTCAGTCTGATTCTGGTTGTTTAATAATTTACGAAACCATATCAATATTGAAATCGCTAACTGATTGTGGAATGAAATATGGGTGAAATGGGTGTCCCAATGAAAATAATCAACTGAGTATTTTGTATTTCCTGATGTAGCAAAAAAATTATCTCAATCATTTCGAATGATCATTCAATTTTTCAAATCGGAGCTTTATGGCGAATCACCCTGTACAAAATAAAACAAAAATGTTTGATTTCCGACTGAAACCAAAGAGAGGCGATGTCAGTCCCGAGAAACATCTTGGGAGGCAGATGGTTACAAAAGTTGATAGGTATTTTATTTTCTGTTTTTCTCAATTCTTTCTTCAAATGAAAAAAAATCAAACTCAATCTTGTAGTGACAACCTACATATACTGAGAAATTATTCTCATTCCTATGAAGATCACATTGTATCCTCATCTTGAAAACTACAATTTTATCAATATAAGAGTTATTATTTTGAAGGCTTATTCCTCCTTCGAACATCCAACAAATATTCAAATCTCTGAAACCTACCAAATGAACATATAATTCGCAAGTCAGAATCACATTACGCATATTAAACAAATGTAAGGAACGAATAAACAATCTCTTATATTCGCCTTTGACCAAATAATATGATTTTGGACCAGCAAATAAGTGTTGGAGGCCGCTTGTACGGGATTTCCTATAAAATTGCGAGACTGGTTATATGACAGGTTAAACTCAAGAGCAATTTAATTAATGCATCTACTTCTGGGTTCTGAATTTCGATAGATGTATCTGAGAAGGTGATACGATAAGTTCAGTTTGTTTGAATCATGAATACAATTTTATTAATTGTTAGTGCTATTTTGGTTTCCTCAAATGGAAAAAGATTACGTAAGTATAAATATGAATGGAAGTGTAAAGTAGGCAGGGTGAATTATTTTCCGATAGAACGCAATAGGAGAAAATTAAAAAAATATATTAAACTTCTTGGTATCAGGGCATCATGTGGAATCCGCAGTAAAAATAAGGAGTTCTCTCATCCCCAACATATATGCTAATATTATATTTTCAATTATCTGCAAAGAGTATCAAACGAAAAAACTTGCAAAGTGTCGCTCGTGAAAAGTTTTTTTGAACGAATAGTAGTAGTATTAGTAGTAGTAGTAGCAGCATCAGTACTATAAAGAAAAGTAATATAGTAGCAGTAGTGATAGTAGTGGCAGTATAAATAATAGTAGGTAGTAGTGGTAGTATATTGAAATTGATAGTGTTTCTAGTGAAAATTCTCATTAGTTCTAGAGAAAAAGCATCTCAAATCATACAACTTTGAAATAATTCAACCAAGAATGATTCACATCATGTCTGCACACAAAGAAAAATGGATTATGTAAGAAATTATTGCTGCTTTGCTTGTCTGGTCTGATTGCAGCTATAGCCTGTACCATGAATACAACTTTCAATTTGCAATTCTGTGTACAACATATTCAGATCAGAACTCAAGATATGTTAATAATGGTTAATATTTCGAATTGAAGAAATCGAATTGTGCTGTTTTGAAATAAAAATAGTCCGTGAAGATGGAGAATCATTCGAGACGTAGTTTTCTGAGATAATTGACATGCACTCTCATCATTCATGAAGATGTTTGATCGACATTTATACGGAAGGGTAGGTATATGTAATGATAAATGACGTGATGAAATCTTCATCGATGTCACTCTGAAATGTTCTCATTTCGTTAAAAATGCAATGAGAAGATGATTTGTTCACACCCATGCATATTTCGAAAAAATGTATCACAGTATTTTTTGATTGATTTATTTCAATCTCGGGTATAATCTGGCCAGGAATCATTTTTCGTGCTATGATTTTCAGCTTCTTATATCAAACCATGCAGAAAAGACGATCCAAACTTGAACAAATGTGCCAAAGAACATGCAATACAAGCGATTCCGGCTATATTGAAAGGTATGTATTCATTTATATATCTCATTAGTACTTATAGATTCATAAATGATTCATGACTCAATTTTTGACCATGTCGCTGAAGACCTTGAAATGCATATTAATCAACAACAGATTTCACGAATGAACTAATCGATAAACGAAACGTAGAATCAAAATGTTTTATTGATTATTGCAACTGTTTGCAAAGAATATCATACATCATTGAAAGCTAGAGTTATTGAGAAGTGATTATTCTGATTATTGAAAAAATTATAATCATGATTTTCAAATAATTAATGACTGTGTCGAATAAGACTATTATAATTACATGAAATGATCAAACAGAGATAATGATTCTTTTATCTGATGGCATGTCATAATGACAACGTTATGTCACTCAATTTTGATGACATAAGGAAGCTCATTATGGGACTAAGTACCATAATGAATTCATTATGATACTAAGTACCATAATGAAATTCTATAAGGAAAACATGTAATGGTTTGATCAAAAAAGTTTATTCAAAATGCATAACTATGTACAAAACTATTTATTATAAATGGTAAAAGAACAATTACTACAATTTGTAATATCAATATAATGGCAAAGCACAGCTCACTCACCTACTAATATTTGAAACTACACAATACTTACTCCTTTAAAAATAGTTGTCATTGTGACATGTCGAAAATGCAGTTTTTAATTTTTCGAAAATGTATTGATATAAATGCCATCAGATAAAATTTTGTATGTAATACGAATCATAAACAATCATTATGGCACACGCCGTGTTATCGGACTCGGCTACGCCTCGCCCGATAACATTCACGACTTGTACCATAATGATCGTCTTTATGATCCTTATTACATAAATAACTATTTTGTATTCAATTCCTGATATATGAGAGCCACTGCAGATATGGTTGAATTTTATTAACCAAAAGAAAGCAAATTCAATATTTTCTAATTCAGATTTCATCTAAGTCACTGTATTTGAAGTTTCAATAATTATTAATTCTCCTGTATCAAATGCCATTGACTTTGACGTAACTGGAATGAATTTTGAAAAAATTTTGTGGCCCTTTTCTACCAGAATATCTTACTCATATAGTTAACTCATGCATCATTCAGTCTAATTTTTCCCAAGTAGTAGTAGTATAGTTTAGTGAGGTGGCTACTGAGAGGCGAGTAGGTCCTTATGTTTTTTTTTGCCAGCCCCTGCTCCCCACATATCTACACATCTTTCTTCTAGTTGTCCTTTCTGAACCTCCTTGAACTTCTGATGTAGGTCAGGATGCCACTCTAATCCGACTGAATTTCCCATTGTAGCTTATCCACTGCAAATATTGCGAATCTCATCCTTCTCGACGCCTCGCACTCTCCGAGGAAGTGAAGTGACCTTTCCTCATCCTCTCCACATTCACGGCTACTGGGACTACCTTCATCACCTATTAGTGATAGGTGTCTGCGCAACCAATTGTGTTCTGTCAGTACCTGTATGAGGTGGCACAGTACTTGGTGATCCTTGACTGGTAACCACGCCGTCTTCGACTTGTTTGGACGGGCCACCAGGTTTCTCAATTGCGTGAGCCGCCTCCACGACTCCAATATCTCTCTAGTGCTTTGTCCGCTCATTCGTTGAGGACGGAAAAAGTTTGGCTTCTTGTGATGCCCAGCACAGGTCCTCAGAACTGTGTCGCGGATCCGATTCTAGCCAGCTCATCTGCCACTTCGTTCCCCCTGTGACCCGCAACCCTTACTAGTTCGACTTTCTCCTGTTTAGCTATTTGCTAAAGAGCATCGTTGTATTCCTGCCCCAGAGCCATCCAAAGCTGAGCTTGGTTTGGGATGACAGATAGCCTTGAGCACCGCCTGACCCTGACTATCCGAGCAGATGTGATTCTTCTGCTCTTCCTTCTTCTACCTCTTCTCTCTGCTACGGCCGGAATGGAAAATACTTCAGCCTGAAAAACTGTAGTGTATTTTCCTAGAGGGTAGCCCTCCCTTATACTTATTCCTTCTAGGTCTTGAGATCAAGACAAGATCAAGACAAGACCTTGACATTTTCAAGAAGTTGGTGACCCTTACAGAAAGCGTCAACCTAATTTCAGAAAGCGTCAATTGTTTTTCAGAATAACTAGTCACTTATGATTCAGAAATCATCAATTGTTTTTCAGACTAGTCGATTGAATTCCAGAAAGCGTCAATTGCATATCAGAATAGTCAATTCAATTTCAGAAACCGTCAATTGTATTTCAGAAAGTTTTCTTTGAATCTCAATTTTTTTTCTGAAATACGAATGACACTTCCAGAAATTCAATTGACTATTCTGAAATACAATTGACGCTTCATTAAATTCAATCGACTATTCGGAAATACAATTGATGCTTCCTGAAATACAATTGACGCATTCTGATATTCAATTGACTATTCTGAAATACTATTGAAGCTTTCTGGAATAGGTACAAGTGACTATCCTGAAATACAATTTTTGACGATTTGACGGAATACAACTGAAAAAGTTATAGTGTTGTGTATAGAAGTTATATGCAAAACTTATGAATATCCTGAATGGATCGAGACAAAACGTAACAGCCGCACGTACAACAAACAAGTGATGCTATCACAATGATACATTTTTGTTTGTTATGTTTATTTTCCATAAAAACTCAATTTCACGAGCGTTTTCTCTAGAATTCCTGATTATTGAAATAATTTCACAAGAAGATATTCTTACACAGTGGAATAGCAGTATCTCTCTCCTCTGAAGTGAATTATTGAAAAATTGGAAATCAAATTCCATTTCAAGAAATTCATTAGATAAGCAATGTTTTGTAATAACTCGCTAGATTAGCATGCTATTTTTTTCAAAGTATAAAAACTCCCAAACAACGCATGATTAAAACAAAAGCATAGCTCCATTACTGGAAGGCAAATGGTACAGCACTATCGATATCATTTTGAAATTTGATCAATGGCAGGAACTATTTTAGGGTTGGTTCGGTTGGTTGCGTATCGAAGAATTTTATCTTATTGAAATATGGAATTTTGTTGTAATGGAACTGAACTAATTAAACTAATCATGAGTGTCAGTTCTCACAAAAAATCATCGTCATCTCGGGAATTGTGATGTTTGAATATTCTGATCAGTCAATAGTTCGCCTATTGGTTCCTCAAGAAATGAAACTGACTTGTGAGATACCAAGAGTATAGTGAGAATTATGCAGTGTCGACCTCATGAATTAGTTAGACTAAACGTGAATGTTGATGAAGCATCCGCTAGACAAATGAAATGAAACTATACAACCTGATATTTTCAGTTGAGAGAATAATGGTGTTTACCCATTTACGGATTTTGTGATGATGAATTGAGATTTGAATACCTCTCAATTTTCAAAGAGACCTTTACTTCTCCTCCTTCCTCAATTCATATCTACGAACAATTTTTGTAACTAAACTGCAAGTAGCAGTAGCAAGGCGATATTGTATAAAGCTGTCTATATTGTATATAATGTATATATGTCAAACCAAAAATGTATTTTCCAGGTGATAAATCACTCGGGAATCCTCCTCTTGTTCCATTACACTTAGATTCGATTGAAATAAAGCCTAGTGAGAAACTTACCATCAAATTGATTGATATCAAGTTAATGGGACTCGAAACTATCAAACTGTATGATGTCAGGTAAGTTAAGCATGCAGTCTCTCCACCCACCTAATTTTTTTACCGCTCATCTACGAACTCGATAGAATATTTGGGTTGGGACTCATACCTGATTTGTTTCCGATTTCAGCAGATTTGGCATATCATACCCATGCTGGAGATATGAATACACCTTATTATAGTTTAGTATTGAAATTATGAACATCTCAGTTAAGTATTTTTGTTTTGATCAGGGAAGCCTTCAAGATTCAAATACTTGCTTGATCTGTATTTCATTCGTTATTCTCGGGATGAATAACTTGTTTTTGAATAATCACGGCAAGCAATAGTTTCTTTGTCTCAAACAACGATATTGTTTAGCTTCATTTGATTATCAAGTCAAACACAGTGTAGTATGCCAGTATGGAGAGGAATAATTAATCAATATTATCTTTGTTGATATGCTCACTAACCTATAACATTTTCCACGTCTTGTTCCTATATAGCTGGCACTGGCGCGGTATTTGCCATTAGAACACCTGGTCCATACACAAATATGTCACTCTGTGGTTGTATTTATATTGAAACTACAATTCGAACATCCTAGAAAACCTAACCTGCTGTTGATGCAGGTAGAATATTATCACCACATGAATTATTTGTCAATACTTGTTGCATCGCATACATATGGCACGGCATTGGTGGTTACTGTTGTTTATTTGAGTTAATTGTTTCGGTTGCAGAAAAAATAGCATGTTTTCCCAATCAGCACCAGACATCTTAAAGACGTACATTTTACGACTTACTTACGTCTTTACGTCCAGGGACGTATAAAGTACGTCTTTAAGATGTAAATCCATGTACATCTTAAGACGTACACGAATTTACGTCTTTAAGACGTACATTTTAGGTCGTATCCACGTCGTTCCTCCCATGTCGTATAAAAGACGTCTTAAAGACGTACATTCCAGTACGTCAATTCGACTTATGGAACAATAATGTAAGTTATTTTCTGAAGAAAAACAAAATGTCATCTCTTCACGTTTTTTATGTTCAATTGTTCAGTTTTTTCTTATTTTCAACAAAAGTGATGTTTTTAAATTTTTTCGTCCGACATTTTGGAGCCTTCGTGTTAGATTCTCGAATTTTTACAAAAAAATCATATTCTCCGCCCCCAAAAATCCCATAGTAATCAATTTTCAATAAAATCGGACTATAATCACAAAACTCGTCCGCTATTTTGAAGCCGACATCTTGGATTCTTCATTTTCGACAAAAGGAATTATAATCTCCGATTCCGAAATCAGACCATAATCAGAAAACCATATGCCACATCGTCCGCCATATTGGATCCGCCATTCTGTTTTTTCCATTCAATAATAATATCACAACGAATTGTCACCGGAATCATATTTACTTGCCAAATTTCAAATCAATCGGACGATTTAAAGCGAGTCAAATTTAACTTACACGTTTTGATTACAAACAGACACAAGGACATGTTAAACTAAGTAAAAGCTTGTTATGTGATATATAGAACAAACAGAGTAACAGAAGAAGTGAATATGGTATAATCATCGAAGTCAAGCAACAAAGAGCGCGGTTAGTACTTGAATGGGTGACCGCTTGTGTCTACCGTTTGATGAAGTCGTTTATTTCCCTTTTTTTTTTGCTTGTCTGCCCTTGTTGCTAACTTCAGTGCACAGGTGAAAATCAACTGAAACTATGTGATTTTTCCGTAATTTGAAAGATCAATTTGAGGTCATGGACCAAAAACACATAAAAAAGACGTCTTAAAGACGTACATATTAGTGGAAAATGTACGTTTTAAAGACGTCTTAAAGACGTCTCTTGAGCGTAATATGTACGTCTTTAAGACGTACTTATGTCCCGACATGTACGTCTTAAAGACGCCTTTAAGACGTACTTTGGCTGATTGGGTTATCCGGATCAAAAGTAACTTTGTTCGACTCGCAAATTTTGCTTTCGCTCGGCTTCGCTGAATCTACTATTTTCTCCATGCGGCAGAGAAAGTGGCTTTTCTGTGACCCTCAACAGGCATTAAAGGTGTCCTTTCACTGCCTAGGCAGAAAAAGTTTGTTGCTATGCAACGTTCCAAGAAATTCTAATGAAATTGGTAATCAAAATTGACACTGACATTGGGTGAACAAAAAATGATGGAGTTTTCAACAAAAAATCTGCACAAGATGAGTTTCATATAACATTTGGAGAAAATAATTGTATGTTTCACACGACAGCTAATGTAGATTGACTGCCTTGGATGAATTCCTAGCCTCGCTAGGCTTGGTTATGAACTCAATAAAAGATATACAGGGTGTTCCTAAAAGACATGCTTATATTCGATGGGTTGATTCTTGACTCATTTTAAGAAGAAAACTTCATATGAACGTATGTCCTAAAAGTCCTAACTTTTGAGATACAGGGTGATGAAGTTTCGAAAAATATTCAGTTTTTTCATGATAATTGGGACAATATTCTATACATCTTCATGAAATTTGGTACACGTCTTTTATGCATCAAGGTTCATTTTCTGATGTACAAAAATATTCATTTTATCTATCAGTGGCACCGTGACGAAAATATTATAGTTTATATTCCACTTGAAAGTGAGTAACGACAATAAAATTTCAAATTTTGTGCAATGTTGAAGGAGGTTATTTAATTATGTACAAAAAAGATCCTCCTATTGATATTCGATAGAACGCCTCGTTTTCGAGAAAAAACGGAAGAGCGAGACCAGACTTCAAATTTTAATGTCTGAGAACTCCATTAAGGACGTCCATTACTGGATAACCACAGTATGTAACATTTTTAAATTTTTATACCGATTCAGTCACATAGCAGACTGAATTTTGCCATCACGAAAAGCTATGCAGGGTGGACAAAAAATAATCTATGCATTTTTTCAACATTGACACCCTGTATCTGAAAAGTAGGACGTTTACGACATACGTTCATATGGAGTTTTATTCTTGGAATGGGTCGAAGGATTAGCCCCTTGAATATTAGGATATCATTAAGAAACACCCTGTATATTCGAAATCAGTAGAAGAAGCTCCACCGTTTAGAAAAATAAAATAATGGGTGATCCAGTTTAGAAATACCAGTTTATGTAAAATCTTCTTGGTTTCGAAGCTTTTTTGCATTTTTAAGTACTTATAAGTATCTGAATGCCCATAAACGATAGTTCATTTTTGCCGATTTGAACGTTTATGTAAGATCAATCATAAATGAGACAGCTATTGAGCAACATATAAAAAACCACCCTGTACTAGCCTAGCCAGCACATCATTTTGTTGTTGCAAACTTTGGAATATGTCATAATATCTCAGTTCAAGAACGGGAAAGCAATAGGAATTTCTGCAGAAGGAAGTATTCCCCAGAAGTTTCTATCCCTTCTTGGAACGCATCATTCTCCACGATCGTGATATGGATTCCTTTTCATGTGCTCAAAAACATGGAAAAAAGAAATAACCATCTTGGTATCAATATCATTTCAGCATCGATCTGAAACATAGACATGTGATGACTAAGCAGAGCTTCAAAAGAATAAATTTGGAGGGCCAATATAGTATAGATGGAAAACTTTTGCTACTCAACCTACATGGAAGTGGTCCTGCAAATCTGACATTTGGTAAGTAAACAATAAGAAGGTATTCTGATTGATGTTTCGGGCTCGTATCTAAATCGTATGACTTAGATACTGGAATTAAAAAAAATCTACTGCTCAAAATTTCTAAAAATTGGAATGAGATCCTAATGAATAAAATTGAGACTGGGTGGCACAAAAAGTTCACCTTCCTTCCTTCTTCTTGTGATTATTGAGCCCTATTCCCAAGATCTCCCTAGGTTCTCAAAACATTATAGGGATTTCCTTCCGTGCGCTCCAATAGGTAAAAAAAAGATTGAAAGGTGATCATGAGTGCTACTGTTTCTTGGACGACTCATTCTTCGGAGATGACAGTTCAAGCATTAGCAACAATTTTATAATGGGATTTTGATATATTCTCTGATTTCATTGCACACATGATACACATTATATATTATTCATCCGTTTCTCATCAGATATATTCAACTGTAGTTCTGAATGCAGAATTAGGTATTCGTTAACTACGGTGGACAGTGAAAGTTGTGAGTACACGAACTGTCATGAGGACATCCGGCAATACTAAAATGCGGTCTAGTTGAACTAAAAACAAGAATACCCATTCCTGATGTTGAAGAGATACATATGAAGTTGAATTGTAATTGTATCATAGATTTTATCATCCAAATCAAATCACGACTATAGCGGTTATCCAATACATATTACATATTATTCATCTCATTTGTTCGAACTATAACTTCATTAGGGTTAGGATATTATTATAAGGATAGGAGAATTATAATTGTAATTTTATGGTGCATAAATTCATATTGCTTCGTTCATTGTAATTCAGCCTTTTATTATCTAAATATTTGAATGTTCTGATGTTTTTAATAATTCAATATATTATATTTCACTATAATACTTGTACAAACATCTATTCACAGCGCAAATTTTGTTGATAGCATTCAGAAACCCACGTGCTGGCTATGCCTTAGTGGGATCTTGTGTTTACTTTACAACTAGAGTTTTTCCTTCAACTCTTTTCATGTTGATTGTATTATATTACTCTGTGAATAAACATTATCATTATTATTTTTATTGAATCTGTGAGGTGCAAATAGCTTATTTGTTCAATTCAATTCAAATCTTCCAGTTCGAAATCTAAAAATACAGAGTTATAACTGCAGACCGTGAACCACTTAGAATTTCCTTTTTGAATTCGTTTCAGTTACCTGATTTTTCGTTTCCAGATTTTAATTTCTTATTGATAGCTGCGGGGCTGAAATCATGAAGCCCTATATCGCAGCCCCAATAGCTTTCCTATATCAGTACCTATACCAATTATATCCATATCGCTTCTTATTGGAAAATACTTTGATATATTCCAAATACCATTAACGCCAATATTTTTTGCAGATAATGTCGATGTAACTTATGGAGTATACTACAAACTTATTACCAAAAAGGATGGCAAGCAATATATAGATCAGAATTTGACATCAAATGTTGAGTACTCGCTAGGAAAGTCGCATTACCAATTTGACAATTTATTCAACGGAAATCCAGAAATAGGTCAGTTATTTACATACATATCCTCTTACTATTTATCTTGAAGAAGTAAATCGCAGTCTTTGTGTAGATATCAATATTGCTCTCATCACTATTATTCCTTCGATTATATTGATTAGATCCCAATCTCAATTGGGAAACACCTGACCAGAAATCACTACATTTCCACTTAGATAGCTATCCATTTGTATCTTATCAAATTCGTCATGGAATGAACTTCCGCTGTTGTTACATCGAGAGCGGAAATAGCAGAATATGATTTTTGTCTTGGTCTTCTTACTCTTCTTACAGTCTTTGTATTTCATTTCGAAGTGAAGTATAATGCTCTGCTTCACTTTGTGTTCGGTGATTGTTTTTGAATCTCGAAAAATAAATTGGATAAAGAAGGTAAAATTCAGAAATGAATAACCTCTTTTCTCATTCAATCTGGTATAATCTCGTACAACTTTGATTTTGCTTTGCTTCGAAATTCTCGAATCATTTATCGAAATCCTTGATATTTCAACAAGATGGCAATGTGAGCTGCTGTATTATACAAAATAAAAATAAGAAATTTCAGACATCGCCATAATGCAAGAACATGTACTTACACGTTTTGTATAATACAAACAAATGCTTAGCCATCTTCAACTTTCGAATGAAACATCGGATGTTTCAATGAATTTCGTGCGCTCCAAGCGAAGACAAAAAAAATCTGATTATACATAAATGAAAACTCTTGTTAATCCAGAGTTTCTCCGATACCATCAAACATAGTTGAAGTCAAGTTAAGTTGAAGCATATCTAGCTCTTCAATTCATTAACAGAGTTGTGTAATCAAAGTCAAAGCTGTAGAAATATTTGGCAAAGGAAGTATAGCTTATAACCTTCAAAAGTTGAAAAAAATACCGAATACCTACCTTCTCTCCTATTCGATTTTTTCAAAGATTACGAAGATATTTGGGTTTGAAGTTTCCATATGCTCAATGGGTGTGACGGCGCAATATCAATACTGAACACTTCTTTCTCTGTTACACCAATATATTGAGCATGTGGAAACTTCGAACGCAAATATCTTCGTAATCGTTTGAAATAACCATATCAAACCCGGTATCGTTGAATTCGTTATGATAATCTTTAACCGAGGTTATGGAATGAAATACAAGGTGTCCCGTTCAAAAATTGAAAGTTGGGGTCATTTCCGGTCAAATCTGAAGTACGGCGATGCCATGAAGATATGTCAAATAATGGCAAAAAACGACCATCAAATTTTATTTCGCAACATTCAATAATAAAGAAGTGATAGGGGGTGAACCACCTTGGAAAATCAGCCGGTATACATTCTTTGATGACTCCCGATCAATATTCATAGAATATAATGGTATATTCTTGGAACATTCCTAAGTTATTGAGATGGAATATTCGATGCATATTCTCGTAAAACATTCTATGAACATTCAGAACTTCCTCATTATATTCCATAATTATTCTTTGAAAGGAAGTATGCTGTGAACGTTGTGAGAACATTCATAGAATACTCTGAGCTGTCTGAGAACTTGGTTGATCTCAGAAGTATGAAGAATAATATGCGTTTAATTGTGTGCCAATATACCATTTTCGTTCTAAATAACAACCTAGTTAGGTAGTTAGTACTAGGTCGCCAACAGGGTTTTCATTCAGATCGACAATGGCACTAGACTTCAACAGCTTCAGTTTTGTTTATGGTTCGTCTTCGCGAATTGTGAACGAGATCATCGAACAACAACTTTTGTGACGAGATTTAGGAAAATTGTTTTCTCTCACTCGTAAAAGAGGGTACTTACCAACGTATCAGTATGTAGTTGAAGTCTCAGAATTATTGGAGATGGAACCCTCAGATGAATGAACTATGATAGCCACCTGACAAGAAATGAAGATATTCGAAGCTTTCGATATTTAATGACAATAATAATAAATTGCCTTTATTTATCCTGGCGGAGTTTAGCAAAGCTACTCTTCTACTCAACCAGGTTAAAAATATCAAGTACATTCTTGTATTCATCATTCATAATATTAATAATAATAACAATAATAACGCAATAATGATAATAAAAATACCTGTAGTAATAGTAGTATTACCAATAATGATAATATTAATGATAATGAACAATACTAACGATAGCAATAGTGACAATAGTAATAATAATGATAACCGTTTTTGTGGCGAGAAGAGATCATGGATCATGAATGAATCACTGCCTGCCGAAAATGATGTCCTTGAGCTTAATTTTGAAGGATATCAGAGACTCAGGCTTCATATAATCACAGTAACTGTTGTATAATTTGGCGGCTTGATATGAGAATGATCGTTCATAGAGCGTGGAAGAGTGTTTTGGAACAGTCAGAGTATCGGTGATCCGCAGATGTCTGTTGTGTATTTGCTTCCTGGGTATAAGTTTTTTCATAAGATAAGAAGAAGTTTTTTTGAGGATTAGTTTATGCAAGAAACATAACTGATGGAGTTGTCGTCTGTTATACATTTTGAGCCATCTAATTTCAGTAATGAAAGGAGTAACGTATTGTATAGTAGTAATGTATTTTACTTTTGATGCCAAAGATTGAACGTATTCAGGAGTTTTGGACTTTTTGTATTCGTGTCGATGTTGCTAGATCGAGACAAGGGCCATAGACAATGTCGCAGTAATTGAAAATTGATAAAATTAGAGTATCACATAACGTGATTTCCAACTTTCTTGTGAGATAATGTCGATTTGTGTATAAATTTTTTAGCAAGCCATATGATCTTTTCATTAATTTATTCACTTCAAACCATTTCTCATGTAGCATTACATAAACCCACCAATCACTCACGCATTATATTCAGTGCCTATCTCGGTGATAATTATTATTCGATTATGTTTCAGGAGAACAACTGAACAAATTCTTGAATGAAAATGGATCTGACATTGGAAAAGAACTTGGCGGTACAGTATCTGAAACAATTGGAGCTATTGTCACGAAAATTCTTCAGTTCATCTTTACAAATCTACCATATACAGAGGTTTTTCCTTGAGCAGTTCACTATATATGATCATTTATTTCCAAATTAAATGCAATAAAGACGTGAGCCGAAATACTTTACTTTTATTTATGGCATATGATATTATGATTTACTTATATAGAATGATTCATTACCACTAGAGTTATCACCATGTGTACATCACCTGCGCATGCCATGAGTAAAAAATCATTGATTGAATATATATACATCCAGTAAATAATTACCTATACCTATTATGAAGGTTCAGTTGATATCAAGGTATGAGTTATGAAACCAGCCTATACCAATTTAGTTATCTATAAGAAATAATTATTAGCTATAAAAATAATATTGCTAGAGAAGTACATACTCTTGGCCTCGAAAACTATATGTATAGTGTAATTTCTTATTCGAATGAAAAATCTAATAGGTTCAGAACTCGAAACTATGTTCCAAACTATTCGATCTGAAAAACTGATTCGGTATGATGTCACCTCAACCATTGTGTTTATTAAGTGGATACATTTACAAACTTCTACAAACTTTGATAGGTGAATATTCTAATTTTGGGATAAAATGGTCATTTGAACATAAAAACACATTTCTTTACTTTTATGAATCTGAAGAGATGATCCAACTAACAAATTATAAATGTAGGTTTTATTCACTATCCTGGTTCTTTAAAATCAGCTGCTATCAGCGACAGATCCTAGGAGTACTTTCTATATACCTATTCTGGATTTTGTTGAATTGATACGAAGGCGCTGAAGGGTCACCTATACTTTTTTTTTGAATCCCGACTTTAAAGTCGGGGGTCCGAGATCAAAGTCGGGGGTCCGAGATTAAAGTCGGGAGTTCGAAACTGAAGTTAGGAGCTAGATTATATTCGTTAAATATGTGGACAAAAATAAATAATTTCCATTGTTACTCATCAGTTTGACGTCAGCAACATGCTCCTGAATTTTCTACATGTACTTGAGAAACACCCTGTACATTTATGTACAAACAATAATTTTACATCCATTTTATAATCATCACATAAGGATCAGTCAAAATCCTCCTTTTTGGAAGTACACTGAATGTCAAATAATGGATCACACCTGTAAGATCATTATCGTACGTATAGGGTGATTGTTTATATTCCACTTATAGCTGAGAATCTCATTTGTTTGTGCAAAGGGTGCAAAAAGATTACACTACAAAACATATATTTTCACAAATGAACTACCCTGAATGTTATTCCGTCCTTGGGTAGAGCTCAGAAAGATGAGTTCAATGATATATGATTACATTTGTAGGTATGAGATCACCCCTTCCGGACTATTTCCATAATCTTCTTCAATAAATAGCCAAATTTCAAAGCCTTATGAAAACGTTGAGAATCAAGTATTCAATGCGCATTTTTCATTATTGATTAACTAATTATATATGTTATATTGATATTTTGTCAATATTAAGGATATTCTTATTAAACAAAAGTGATGAAAATTTTCGAATGTATTTAATTTCATTCTTGGATACAGCTAAGAGAGACGAATTCAATGATATATGATAGAATGGGTCTGAGAACACCCGTTTCGGACTCATCCATGAAGTCGGCCCCCGACTTTAAAGTCGGACCCCCGACTTCAATCTCGGACCCCCGACTTTAAAGTCGGACCCCCGACTTTAATCTCGGACCCCCGACTTTAATCTCGGACCCCCGACTTTAATCTCGGACCCCTGACTTTAATCTCCGACCCCCGACTTCAAAGTCGGACCCCCGACTTTAATCTCGGGCCCCCGACTTTAATCTCGGGCCCCCGACTTTGAAGTCGGGATTCAAAAAAAAAAGTATAGATGGCCCTTCAGCGCCTTCGTAAATTGAAACAATGAAGATTCGATTGATTCACGACATGAAACGATTATTTTGATTGCTTGTGTGTCTATCTCAAGAACCAAGCCGTTCCGTTGCGGACCCATATTCATGTGCATTTTTTATACAGGGTATTTGGTTCACCGACGTGAACCTGCAAGGAGGTGCTGGGTAACAACATTTCGAGCCTATTCGACTTCAATGACCTTATACAGGGTGATTCATTGGGAAATGCGCATAGAGTAAGGGTAGACGGAGGACACCGAGGTGCTTCTGAATAATGTATATTTCATGGGTCTATCATTCTTCGTAGCTGAGATACAGGGTGATTTATCAATTTTCTAATTTTTTTCAATCAATCATAACTTATGAACCACCCAATACATTTTTGTGATATTTGGTGAACTTGTTCTTCGTCCACAGATGTGTTGATTGACATAATAAAATGAACTCTCATTCCAGGACCGGCCTTAAAAAAATTAATAAGTAGGTTTTGAGTCGAAACAACACCCTGTACATCAATATTTTGGACTTTCATTCACAAATTTGGAAAAAGCTGGAAAAAATATGTCAGGCTGAATGTATTTTGTGTTTCCGCATAGAACTTTTATATCTATTAACTTGAGTCAAATCTAGATGTTTCGATAATGAGGTGGCACAAAAATGAAAAAAAAATTAATTGTCGTCCCCAAATGGTACTTTTTCATTTTCAAACCATGAAATCATCAACCATTTCTTACTCTGCAAATTTTTAAATCCCAACCTAATTAGAAAACGAGAGGACAAGTCCGTATTTGGAACAAATTATTATTATCAATGACTAACTATAAATACCTTGTATGTGCAAGAAGATTGTCATAACATTTGTTCATTGCCCTACCTTTGAAACAACTATTATTATGGAAATAAAGAACAATGCCCATTCCGGAAAAAGCATAATTTATTTCGAACAAAAATGTCGTTGCAACAAATTGTATCGAGTTATGATAATAATAATAAGATACAAAGAAAATTGAACAGCATAACTTATAACAGTTGTTGGAGTGGCCTCCATTTCGCTCAATACATTTCCGTGCTCTTAAACTCAGATTTGAAATTGACTTTCTTATCATAGCTGGCTCATTTCTCAGCACGTTGCATGCGTCCTTAATTCTCCTTAGGAGGTCCCCACTAGTGTTAACCTCAGTTGAATAAACTTTCGATTTTAAATAACCCCAAACATGGTAATCGAGTGGATTAAAATCTGGGCACCTTGCAGGCAAGTTGTGAGGTCCTCCTCTGCCTATCCAATGATTCGGGAAGTTGTTATTTAAGAACTCTCTAACTATCACCCTGAAATGAGGGCAAGCCCCATCATGTTGAAAGTACATGCCTCCAACATCAACTCCTGCATCATAAAGCAATATGGGCAAAGTATTTTGCAGGAACTCCAAATTCATTTCTCTTGTTAGTACATGTGGTAAGATATGGGTCCAATTAATATTGGGCAGCTTTTCCATCACCGTCACTGTATCCATAGACATACAACATGTCTGCATATTCATTATTATTGAATTTATGTGGCATTTTGAGTAAGTGTTAACTATTCATCAACGAATTACGTAACAACACAAGACACAGGTACACACTCTTAAGTCATCAACTAACGTCCAAATTGTACTCTGACATCAGCCAACTTGAAAATTACAACAATCCTAGTTTTTTGATTTTCTGTTATTGTAATGCCCCCAACTTTCTTCGTTAGTTGGCCTACTACAGGGGGTCGTTACAAAGTAAGTTTTCCTCGATCAATGGGTTCGTTGATTATTGAGGCAGGAGGCAGACTGAGATTGTAGACAATAAGACAACATATAGATAGTTACTGAGACATATATTCAGGCAGAATGGTCAGGCAGAGGTTACAGGCAACAAAATCAAAGTTTGCTTACATTTTAGATTGCACATTATTGTTACACTGTTCACTTGTTTTTTCAATTGGCGAGAGTTTCACTTCACTTTTACGTCTTAGTCACCAAAGTTGCAGATTACAATAAATCTACCTGAGTGGTCACTTACACAGGTATTATTAACGAAGTTCACTGGTACTGTTCGAACGTAGCATGTTTGATAGACAGATACAAAGTCGGCTGGATACGTTTTGTTTTGAGTCACGTTTAAGACTCAACATTTTACATTCTGTTCAATAGATTCAATGATCGAAATTCAATCACTCCCAAGGCTCACTAACAAAACTTTCAACTAACACAACGGAGATCGAAACATCGTATTGGAGACTGATCAAGACTGCTTCAAGAATAACTTCAGACTGTCTTTTCTCATTGGAATTGTTTCTGCTTTTATACAGAATTTAGCAATAAATTTTGGGAGAATCAATTAAATATAAGACAAGTTCCATGTTGTGTTTATATTAGGCAAGATTTTTCGTATATTTTTGAGCGAAAAATTACAGATGTTAGGATTAATTTGCGAAACTAAAAAGATTTCGTTGTAGTTCTGAATTGTTATGACGATAAATAATTCAAAGCTTCAACTCATACTCTTGATGTTAATAAAACTGTCACCTACTATAGTTTTCCATTAACCCTTTCTCAAGCAATAATCCAATGTGGTCCTCTTTCGCTAAACAATCTCTAACTCTGTATTCTACCATCCTCTTACTCTCCAATTATATTCTTATTTGAATTTTCTTCTATTGAATACACAATTTTTCCGTTTCTGCTCTAATCTGCGGACTTTGAAGTGCATCCTTGTGCCATGGCTTCTTGTATCCGAGAAAATAAAGCTTTCTTCGAAATTATAATGACATTCTTGCTTTGCTCTTCAGCTACACTTCACACTCTTCTAGACTTTATTTTTTATTCCACTTTTTCTGAATCCGTGTTTCAGATACCCGCCTCCTTGTTGGTTTCGGCAACTGTTGTCTCCAGACATTGAGGTGCATCTTTGTGCCCTATCCTTCTGTGCCTGAGTAACAGGTTGCATTCCCGAGGCTACTCTCTCGACTTTCGATTGTCTCTTCTCTAACATGTGATCATGTATCACTACGTTTACCTTTGGACGCTGCAGTCCTCCTTTTCCTTTGACTTCTTTCTATACCTTAATCGGAGTATCTGGGATGGATATTGCTGTTTGGTGAACCAGAGAACTCTGGAATTCGCTGCCAATTCCAGTGGCATCAAATTCATATCTTCCTTTAGTACAGTTGAAATAAAGGCTTTCAAGGTATTGTCAAGATGTA